GGCGAGTTTTATTTAACAATCCAGAGATCGTACCCAGGATTTAGAAAATAATCGAGGTTGATTTAGTAAAATCGTAACAATATGTTCGATACTTTGTGTTGCCTTTATGATTAGCAATTAAAATGACAGATCGTATGTTTACTAGTAGAAATGTTAATCTGTGATTGTTTTCTTAGATCGCTAGAAGAATAATAATTTTCGTATTATAATTTATTAGATATAATGAAACACAGTGAAAAAGTTAAATTTTAAATGTTTACTGAAATAAAGTGAAACCAAGCATTTGGTGATTAAATATAAATCGTTAAGCAGGGTCATAATGCCGAGTCGGCTTATGCCAACTCAATTGCACTTGTATTAGGAAATATTTATCGTGGATTTCTTTTTGTTATTGAAAAACGAAAAAATAAAATATAACCTTGTAAATCACAAATATTATTGAATTTTGTGGTCAAATGTGTCCAATAAATCTGAGGCGATTTTGTGAAGAGTGGCGGATATGGATACGACCCCTTTTAATTGTCACCTATTGTATATTTTTGGTCATCGTTGTACCTCTACTTATTGTCAATTCTGTAAAGGATGGATTCCAGCGGAATGATCAATTTATACTTATTGGTGGATTATTTGTGTTATCAGCTGTGCCAATTTCAATATGGCACATTATTCAGCACGTCATACACTTCACTAAACCCATCTTGCAAAAGCATATCATACGAATATTGTGGATGGTGCCAATTTATGCTCTTAATGCGGTAAGTGAGATTTTTGTTTCATTTATATAGTCTACACATCTTTATTTCAATTTTCTCTTGTTCTAGTGGATTGGACTTTTCTTCCCTAAACACTCTATATACGTCGATTCTCTTCGTGAATGCTACGAAGCTTATGTTATTTACAACTTTATGGTGTATCTATTACATTATCTCAATTTAGGTGAGGATCTAGAAGCTACAATGCAGTACAAACCACAGGTGTATCATTTCTTTCCACTTTGTTGCATGAGACCTTGGCCCATGGGGCGAGACTTTATACATAATTGCAAACATGGGATTCTCCAATATACAGTCGTGAGACCAATAACCACATTCATTTCTGTGTAAGTATTGACGTTACCAAACTAAAAAATATTTGTACAAATAAAAGCTTTGAAAGTGTATATATATATATATACCTACATATCGTATTTAACACATTATATTTGAAACATAAGTTCTACTATGTAAGTTTTTACTGATTAGAATGTGGCGTTGAAAAAATTACTTAACGAATTACTAATTATTAGTGAATATACTTCTAAATATATTTATTTTAAACACTTTACTATTTTTGCATTTTCCTGCTTTCTAATATATTTTTCTTTTAATTCATAGCATTAACTTTTTACTAAATTAATTTTTATGGGTTACAATTTGTTCTGGGAAAAAGCATTTCATTTAAAACTAATTATTGCAAGTTATTTGTGAATTTATTACTAATTATTTTTATAGTACTCCACTAGTTTTGTATTTGTTCTGATGTATTCATACCTGAAAGCTATGTTTTTAACACTATTATTATTTTATTATAAAGTAGAGAGCAGAAGAGCACGTTTACCGTGTATTTTGTTTTTGATTTTGGTTAGCGGTTATCTAAATAATGGAAAATTTATTGGCTTTTTTCAACGCACACAATTTCTCTGTCACTTATTTTGAGCAAACAAACTAAACATAAACCAGGAACCAATATTGACAATAACCACGGTCAACGATGAAAAAACCGTTGTTACCTGTTGACCTCAACGAGAGATGTTGTCGCATGAAATCTGGGTTACCTCTGATGCGTAGAATCAACTGTCGTAAATATTATGTAAGAATTTCTGCAGGATGATGTCCTCTCTCTATTGTTTTTTAACTTATATATTTTGAAGCTCCGTCCTCAAATAGAAGGAGTTTCACTGATTTCATGTGCATATGACGGCTCTATATTGGCGTCTGGCCAGGACATTTTTGATTTACGTTCGAAAGTGAACCGCAACCTCGCCGACCTTTCCCACTGTGGGTTAGGGGTTCAAGAATTTACCCACGGTAAAGTCCAATAGTTCCCCCGACAGTCGGGTCTTTATACCGGAAAGACCCGGATTTTTTATCCGGCCAAGGACTGCCACTCCCGCAACATTCCCCAAAAATTACTTTGAGAAATATTTTTGTGTTTACAACCGCAACAACCTTTCCCACTTCTTCTCTGGACGACATAGCTACAACCAATTAAATCCTCGGCCACCTGTACTCCGACTTCGCATACGACTGAAATTACATAGCCGCCTTGGGAAAAGATAAAGAAACGTGTCTAGCAACATACAAGGCAATTGTACGGCCGATCGTAAACTATGATGCTGCGACCTGGACCCCCCTTCGGTCTGGACCCGACCCTTCGAAACTGCTATTTTCCTGGACCTTCTTCGCTGCCGTAGGAAATTAACTTTTTTTAAAGCTCGCCTAAAATTATGTGTAGAAATCATTTCATATAATATGTATGAATGCATATATACGAGGAGATCGGAGTTGACTAGAAAAAATTATTATTGTTGTATTTATTCGTTATCTTTTTCCTTTTTTTATCTCCTCTACATAATCGTCATTGATTTCAATGCATTTTTTAAGCCTATAACTCCACTACTGAAAACAGTTTTCAAAATCTTGGTGTTTAAGCTCATCAAGTACAGCATTAACAGCATTGATTATCTCCTTATTGCTATATTTGAGGAATATGGTGCTGAAAGTATTTCTTCGATCTCAGAGATTACAATAAAATTCCTCGTTGAAAGCTGATGAATGCACCTTGTCAGCTTTTTACAGCCATGTTTGCGTAGCTCCGCCTGTAGGCCGCAAGTCCCAGCCGCTTTGTAGTTTTTTCAGCGAGCAATCTCCTTTGAACTTCGACATGGTCAGGTAGCGGAACGTCTGCTCCATCGTCATTAATTGGGATATGAGGTTCACCATCTCCTCCGGGTTAATGTAAACATTAGAGCTTTCGAAATATAATATAATATATGCATAAGTTTATCAATAAAAAAGTACACTTATATTTACCCAAAATAATGCTGTTCCACTAATTTACAAAGCTTTAAATTTTGCAAGAATTTAAATTAAAAGCATTCTTTGCTATCACAAAATCTAATATTTTATTTCATAACAATGTTTTTATTAATTAAATATCTCATTAACAAGCATTTGCGAGATTTGCGGAGTTTATGGAGAAGGAACGTTTGCAGGCGATGTGGCCTTTCCCTACATTGTTGTAATTAATAATATTTCACAGTTCGTGGCTATGTACTGTTTAGTACTCTTTTATAGAGCTAATAAAGTAAGTATAATATATATATATATATATATATGTTCTATGCATATAAATAAGTTAGAGAAATCACACTGAATATTTACTCTAGGCCGGTAATAGTAATTGTATTTTTGTAAATTCATATTAGTAAAGTGGGAAGGTAGCTGAAATTGGATAAAAACCTCCAAAGCCATGACTTGAAATATTGAAAAGAAAAAACACTATAATTCAGTAAGCAATAGTGCAGTCAGAGTGGTATTATCATACAAACGTATATATTAGCTGTTCGGTAAGAAATGTCAGTAAAAATTAACCAGTAACAAAATAAGTCTGATCGGTGACTAGATGGGCAGTAACAATTTCAATCGCGTTCGTTGAGCAAAAACTCAGTAAGATTAGTAACGAGGGGCGCAATTTTAGCGTATGTTTTGGAGAGAAAGCTGCAACTCCTATTTTGTGAATTTTTGTCAACAAAATAAAATTGATTTAAAATGAAATCAGCTGTATCTTGACCTTAGTGGCTGTGCCGTTCAAAAGACACTTTGTGAATGCAAGAAGAAAACTTCAATAAACATACATGAAATATTTGCTACTAATTTATTTTAATGGTCTTTTAAATTTGTATACTCAAAGCGTATTTTGAGAAAACAAAACGAATTTTTGATCATGGTGAACAACCTCAATACTGTGAACAGGTCTCCCAATAATTAGTTTACTATATCCACACACGACTATATTATTATTTTTTGTACAACGCCAATTGATTTTGGATTTCACAAATTTATTAGAAAGCTGTGTCTACTAAACGAGCCGCAAAGCATTGCTAAGCAAGGTCGCAGTGACGATAATGCATTCTTACAGAATCCTGATCGATGAACCCTCAGTAAATTTTTTGGGAGTGTAAGACATCTGGGTAATTTTTGCTGATATTTCTAAGCGGGCTCTTTCGGTGCAAGTTTCACTAGTTTTTTCCCCACCGAACACGGCTCAGTAAAATTCAGTAGCAATTGCTACTGCCCAGCAGCTCTCTGACGACATTAAATATATTAATAAAATTTATCAAGTTTTATATAAGTAACTTACAAATATGTATGCATTTTAGTTTATATTTATGTAAGATAAGCACGTTTTGGTCATGCATTAAGGATATGAATTTACAATAATGTTAAATTGTTCATAACTTATTTCTGTTGGCTTTTCTATAAATATAGGAAGACCTCAGGCCAATGAAGCCAATACCGAAATTTCTTTGCATCAAAGCAGTGGTGTTTTTCTCATTTTTGTAAGTTGTTTGTTTTTTATTTTATTTTTTTATTTTGTGTACTTGAAATTGAATATATCTTTTATTATTATAGCCAAGGTGTATTATTGTTTCTGTTGGGGTACTACAAAATTTTGCAAAAATTAATCACACCGTCAGACGATACGAATTTGGCGTCAATGCTGCAGGTATGTATATCAATTTTGTATCTACAGATCGTGCGATGAATGCGAAAAAAAAACTTCTTGTCGTAAATTAGCTTAAGGCTATTAAGCTAAGAAGCTATTACGTTCCCTACCTCTATGACGTGTAATGTAAATTCTAATGATGGCAAAATTTGAATGACGATACCTCACCACTAAATTTTAAAAGGGAGAACTGAATTAGTTCATGAGCTTTGAGGTATCTATCATATTATGATTTTTTCTTTTAATTTAATTAATTTAATTAAAGTTGTTTATTTGGTTGTCGCACTATTTGTAGTGGGATTAGATGTAATTCACTGTCCGGTAATTTCTTCAAACAAACTTAGCTTAAACATGGATTAGCCGGTATTAACTTGATTCTTTTATATGAATTTACATAATTTTCCATAGAAATAACAATATAATTGAGCTTTCATCTTGTTTCTGGTGATAGTTTAGCTTCTAATGATTTTAACCGCCCGAAATTAATTGTTTGAGAATGAAATTCATTTTAATTTCTTCGTTTTTTTCAGAACTTTCTCATATGCATTGAGATGTTCCTTGCAGCCGTGGCGCATATTTACAGTTTTCCGCATCATCCCTTTCATATTAATTCACCTCAGTATTGGAATAATCCGAATCATAATTGGTGCCGGGCATTTCTATCTATGATGGATATATCGGATATGCAGCAAGACGTCACTGAACATTTAGGTGTTGTTGGTAGTTCGATAAGTCGACATTTCCAAAGCCGAAGCACTTATCAACCGTTATCACGGGGTCCACGCCGTTCCAGCAGTGAAACAGAGTATTTGATTAACAAGCGAGAAGTTGGTGACAACGCCGCAGACGGTATGATTAGTGATATGCCATCAACGAGTTCAATGGTCGGCGATGTTATGATAGTGAGTGGCGGAAGTGCTGTTGTACAAAAAGGTAATAGAAAAGAATATAATTCGAATTTCGCTAGTAAACCATTGGCTAAAGCCAATCGCTACGGAGCTACTGATAATCTTTTAATGCCTGTTGGCGAGATCGTACTAACAACTGATTCTACATCTCACATCCACTTAGCAGGCTCGCGTATCACGCACAACACATCAGCCAAAGTACCGTCATTCTCCACCAACACTGCAACAGTTGAACCCCATTCCAATTTTGGAATAAATATACAAAAGCGCGAAGTGCACTCACGCGAATACTCACCACAACAGCTATATGGCGCACCAGTCCCTGGTGGCAATAGTTTTTTGCAATCACGCAATGTAGGAGCACATTCCAGCAACATTCCTGATACTGATGAAGATTTTGTATCCCTAATTGGTTCTGGTAGATGACACCGTTATACTGAAAGTAGTAGTCACAGTCAAAACTATAATCCATCAGCAATTGAATCGACATCTGTGTCTATATCAGCATCGGCCAATTTTTCTAGTAGTCTTAAATTATCGACTGGCGAAAGTGGCAGTTGCATTTCCTCTGATTGGCTAAGCACGTCTCATTCTGATGAAAACGGCGATAACGACAGTGATGACAATGACGTTGATGACAACAATTTAACGCCAATTGATGGTGATATTCTGCAAATGGGTGGCTTTGGGGGACATAACATTGATGGTATTGCAAACGTTGTTTATGACGTTGGTGGTGCACAGCAAGCCTACAACGAAACCGCAACAAGACGATCACGACTAAGACCTACAAACAGCGAACACACCACATAAATTGCGATTCGACTAAACTCCAAAAATATTTTTTAGTTTTCTTATTTCTTATTATTAAGGCTTAATTTCTTTTTCTATATAATATCAACTATGATTCTTATTATTTAATGTAATTTATATTTTTGACACCATTTACCTATTATTATTTGTATAATGTCGATCATGTGGTTTCCTTCTTTTTAGTGTTTTCTTTTTTATACTATGGTTATTGAAGAAATGGGGTTCAAATGTCATTATCGCGTTAAACTCAATCCAGGGGGCTGAAACTGACTTTATTGATATTAGTACTCTATGAAAGTGTAGTAGAAATAACATTTATGTATATAATATTATATTTGTAACGTCATTTCTTGGAACTTCCCATAAAAATATTTAATAGAGATTTGAAAGAATTATTGAGCTAAAAACTTTGAACTAAGTTAAGTTTGTTTTACTTTTGCTTAAATTGATTTATTGATCAACTAATTCTCACATATTCGATTTGCAATCCTAGCACTGATATCAATGAAAAATATTGCTTATATGTTTTCTAAACGGAAATAAAAAGCTGGAAAAAAAAAATCATTAATTATTATGAATTGTGTTGATGATACACAAATGATATTATATTATTGGCAGTTGTGATGCCCTTAGTGCCTATTCCTTTAATTTTTATGACAAAGTAGCAAAATTTAGAATTAGAAACGAAAATACTGGAATATTTTAAACATAAATAACATGATATGATTCGCAACTGTTTGGGTTAACTACCGTCTCTATATTGAGAAAATATATACATATATACACAGTCGAATAATAAATTTATGTAGTCGCAAATTAGTTAAATGGAGTTTACATATGTATATCCGAAACCATTGTTCACCCGTTGTAGGAATCTGCGAAAACTTAATAAAATTATGCATACTTAGAAAATTTCTACATCTTCAATAAATGTTTTCGAATAATCACTTAAACAAAATATTTACTACAATAAAATAAGCACAGAACTAACTGAATTATATTTTTTTTTTTACATATTTCCTGAACATTGACAAAATAAAAGGCGTTTGAAATTGTGATAAAAATTGCCCTCTCTCTCCTTGTCATAGTTGTTTTGTTATAATTATTTCCTTTTTTAAATTGTTTTATGTACGGACACTATGCATTTAATTTAATTTTTAGGTTTTCTCAGTAAACTTTGAGTTCTTTTAATATATTTTTAAAGTACTAACTAAATAACTGACGCATCATTTGTTGAAAATTTTTTATCTAATTTTATACAGGCTTTCTTCATATAAACCTAAAACCATACCACTCCAAAGAACTACATATAGTGGACAGAGTTCTTCATTAGTAATAAATTCGCCGGTTTCCGTTATCGTAATATTTTTTTAATTTATATATTGTTTTATTTGCTTTTTTTTTAGTTAACAATATATGGACGTACATGAATATAAATAAAATATTAAGTACATACTTGGACTAATAATGCTACGCCACCCATTTAACAAGACCGTTGTACGCGCCAATCGAAAAAAAATAGAAGTTAGTGGTCTATTGTGTAAAGAACAATTTCAGCAATTAAAATATAAAACCGAATTGACTGTCCGCCGAGTACATATCTGTATATATGTATACATATAAGTATCCATAATAAAATACTTTAAGCGAAAAGCTTAAGTTACGCATATTCAAAGTAAAAGAAAGATCATTAAACACTTAAAATTAAGACACTGGAATCGTTGAAAGACCGTACATTACGGCGAAGAATGCCCTCTCGCCTTTGAAAATCCAACTATGCTCACTGTATTAACGCAATCGAAGTAAAATTGATGTTGTCGATAATAACTATTAAGACTTAAGGCACGCAAAACAAACGCTTCCGTCAATAAAGGATTATATACGCCTTTCAATTATTGTAGTTTGTGCGACCGCCTAACTCTAATAGGTAACGATCTGGATGATCCATCCAATCGGCGGCGGTTAACTTTACAGTACGTTGTCGTTCAGCTTCTTTGATTTGCCACTTCTTAATATCCAATTGCACATCACGTGATGCCTTGTCACCGCAGCCCCATACCTGCCGAGAAAAGCATACAATGAAAGTATGTAAATAGTGCTAATTTGCATATGTACATATGTACACTTGTTTAATTCTTCGTACAATTTGTACCATTAAAAAAATGTGACTAAATGTTATCAAAACATCAATTCATTCACATAGATCATGCACATAGATGCAGATATGTATACAAAGGTATGTGTGTACATGAATATATGGAAACAAAAAATTTAAATGTTATATTTTATACCAATGAATTAAGTAATAATTATACTTAATTTCACTGCATTGACTTGTATTACATTCAAATAGTTTTATATTGAATAAACATAATATGCTTTACAAAAAAGGAAAAAGTTGTTTGGCTTGAAAATATTGTAAAGTGAATATTTTATTAGTATAACACTAACAATCTATAATGAATCGCAGTTTGCAGCATCGCAGATACACACAAATATAATATATGTGTGCTTACAAAACTTCGATTTTACAGTCCGTTTTAATATTTTTTCCATCAGATCAAATATAGGAATAAAAAAACAAATTATAAATATGTAGGTTGAACCTGATACTTAATCCTGCATTTCAGTCAATTAACGTCTGAAAGTATAGAGGATTCCAGCACAACACACTAACCAAGCTGGTTAATAATGAATTGAATAATACAACAACAGATTATATGGCTGATGTTGGCGCAGTGGTAGAACACTCGCCATGTTAGGTCAGGATCCGTTGGTTCGATCCCTGCCATAAGAAGTCTGATGAGGAGATGTGGTGATCTCCGAAACAGCTGTCACTTCAACCATTTTTCTTTGTTGTATAACAAATATTCAATTCATATATTTACTTAGTAAAATTAATATATAATATAGCATGGCCGCAAAAACAAATTATAAAAAAAAAAATACTTCGACCTACATTATTCGTTAGTAAGGACTATAGCTTCCACCAATTTTCATTACTTACACCGGCACACAAACAAATAAAAGTTGTTTGTACACCTATTTCAGTCAGTTTCGGCCGTACACCCTTCTTCTAAATTTTAAGCTCCGATTTTTGTAAGATGTCGTTGTTGTACTTAGGCACAGGTTTGATCAATCTAAGTCGCTGAGGTCATCTAATGGGAGGTCCAGGAAACGAGCTGTTTCTACGGAGTTGGACCAAAGGAAGAGAGGGGTTAGATGAGTTGGTTTGAAAGGGCATGTGAAGACGTGGTTAGTGTCGTGCGGAGATTCTCCACTTGCAGAGCATACGTTGGGTATGCTGGGGTCTAGTCTGGATAAGTAGAAGTTTAACCTGCTACAATATCCAGACCTGAGTTGTGTCAGGTTCACGTGGGTCATTTGAGGCAGCTCAAGCTCGTTGTCTGCTATAGATGGTGGTTTTTCTCCGAGCACGTCATGGCGTTCAGTACTTGCCTGTACGCCGTCCTGTAAAGGGGTTGTTGCACGTGTTGCTGGATTGTGTCCTTAAGATCTGGTACTCCCTTTCTGATGTGCCTAGGTGGAGGTTCAGCTTCTATTAGTAACCTACTAGGGTGCTCCCTGCGGTAGCATCCCAATATGAACTGCTTGCACAACAAAGAATTATGCCCTTTAACTCGAAGCATAGATGCTTCAATGAGCAAGTGATGCTCCGGCGACATCAGGAGGTTTCCTGTCGCGGTCCTGAAGTGTTCTGGCAAGCCTGTAGCTTCCTCATCTGCATCTCGTTCGTCCCCGGTGGCCAGATCGGTGCAGCATAGTTTACGACCGGCCGGCCAATTGATTTTATAAGTTGCCTGCAAGGTTTCTTTGTCCTCACCCCCGGTGCTGCTTTGAGTATTTTGTTTAGGCTCTGGAGTTTAGCGGCAATTGCAGTCGAACGTGGAGGGCACGCTGTCAAGTGTGACTCCCAATATCTGAGGGTTATTTACCTTCGGAATTTTTGTGAAATCGACCTTTACATCTAGTTCAAGCCTGTGAGAAAGATCGGCGAGGTAGCCGTTCACTTTCGACAGAGGTCGTCAATATCCTGGCCAGACGCCATTATCGCACAATCATCAGCATACGAGGTTAGGGAAACTCCTTCTGGTGGAGGAGGGAGTTTCGAGATGTAGAAATTAAACAGTAGCAGGGAGAGGACCCCACCCTGCCTAATCACCTGTTTAATTTTTCTGGGTTTTGTTGTTACACCTCGGAATATTACCGACGATTGTCGACCACTCAAGTAGCCCATGACGCAGATGGTGAGTGAAAGTTGGGAGCAGTAAGACGTCAAGTGCCTTCGCTATTGGTGAGAGGAGAGTTATCGGCCGATAGGACTCTCCTTTTGTGGCTGATTTCCCCGGTTTGAGTAGCGGGACCACCCTGCCCATTTTCTGCACGTCGGGTATCATTAGGGTGGTCAAAGACAAATTGAGGAACCTCGTGGGAAATTTTGCTCCCGCTGGTCCTAGGTGGTTGAACATCAGCATGCTTATTCCGTCGGGGCCGATGGATTTGGAGGCTTTCGTCTTCCCGATGACCCCCTGAACCTCCTCCCTGGAGAAATCAAGCACCGCGCTAGTGTTCGGCAGTTTGCGCATACGGCAGGTTACACTTCGCTTCGCTTTGTCTACCGAAGGATGCAGTGTGCAGAGTCGGCTAAAATAGCCGCGGTAGCCGAGTGGTTAGCATTGCGTACTACCATTCGGAAGGCTCGGGTTCAAATTCCCGTGCGACTAACATCCACATGTCATAGAAAATTAATTTAAATAAAAAATTAAGTTAAATTTTCTAATTACGATCGCCCCTCGGTAGGGAATGTCAACCCCTCCGAGTGCATTTCTGACATAAAATGAAGCTCCTTATAAAAAAACCATCAGCCGTTCGGAGGGGGCTTAGTCTAAATTGTAGTTCCCTCCATTTGTTGGAAAAGCATCAAGACGCAAAACCACAATTGGAGGAGGAGCCCAGCCGAAAATCGATTCAGCAGTTACAAAGCGCCAATTATATATATATATATATATATATATAGTTTTAAATGTTGGCCTAACTTTGGCCTTAACGGCAGTAAGCAATGCTTAACCACTCGGCTATTGTGGCCACCAATCCTTCGGTGTCCGTATTATTCTAAGGTAATCCCGTATGCTTGTGTTTAGGTAAAAAAATATTGTTTTTTTCTAATATTATAATTCTTAAAAGAAGATAAGCAACATGTAATAAAATCCTTAATGTAGCTAGTAAAAAATATTTCTCTGCTTTCATTCATCTATTCTATTAGCTAAGTCAAAATTCTTTGCAATACTCTGATCTGCTTATTTTAGAATTTAAAATAGTAGGCATTTAAGATATGTTAAGTCATTTAAAATTCTTTTTATTATTTATGTTTTCTGAGATATCCGAAGCTACCACGCAGATCATACTGAAATTTTGATAAATAGGAAGCTTTAAGCATGGATTACAATTACGGGATGTCGATCCTGGACCGACCTATTCGTATAAACAGTATTAATGGTTCTACTTTCTTTAATTCTTTTCTTTCGAGGAAGTGGAGCGACTTTTTATGCACATCATTTATGGTTCAACTTGACTGAATTTTTTTTAGTGGGTATCCATTTGTCTGGATAGTTATATCGACTACTTTAAGTTTTATCATATGGACCAGGTACCAAATCCGAATTGTTTGAGATTTATGCAGTTCCTTGATAGCCATTTACCTATATTAACATACAGAACACTTTCTTCGCAGAAAGTGGATCACTGAGAGTTCGACACAAATTGGTATAGGCATTAGATTAGCTAAAGAGTACCATACGAACTAAGAGTACTACCATACAAAAAATTAATTTACATAAAAACAGTTCAGTTAATTTTTTTTAAGCGGAGTGGACATGAAAAAGCGGTACAAATCGGCTATTGAACATATACGAGTATATTATAGGAATCTACTTTTACATTTTGTATCTTCTTATTTTCAACTTGTTTTTATGTTACTTTAATTTTCGACTTCAAATATTTTCATATTCTGAAATATAATTTTCATTTTGCATAGAAGCTGTTGTTGAATAAATTATATTTAAATTATAAAATATTAAATGTGTAAAAATGTATATGCTTCTAGCAGGATCACAAATTTATACCGATTAGTTTATCTATATATGTATGTATTTATATTTCTTAAAAAAATTAATATTTTATTTTTTAAATAAAATGTATTTTAGATATAGCTTGGTGCCTGGGAAAATTTTTGAAACCCGGTGGTTTTTAATATGTTGACGATATTTAAATAAATTGCTAAAAAAAACTTCGATCAGCTAAACAAATACGAAACCGTCAACAATAATAGCGGGTAGACCAACATTTTTTTATTTACCTCAATTGCAATTAGCACTGCTGCCAACCCTTTGCAGTCCACTTTTTCGAAGTGTTCATCAATGGCGATAATCGGTTTACGTGGATCCGAGCCAGCCCGTACTCCTTTAGGATAACCCCGTATGCTTGTGTTTAAGTACAAAATATTGGGTTTTTTCTCTAATATCACAAATCTTAAAGGGAGATATACAGCTTTTAAGAAAACACTTAATGTAGATAGTAAAAGATCCTTACTTTGGAAATAGTTGAATAATACAACTGCCTTCACCTCCTGTATACAAATGCGTTTCTTTCCATTCAGTTGGCGATGCAATGCAGTACGTCTGGTCATCTTTAGTATGTATCAGTACGAGTGTTGGACCGCGATAACCAAGTACATGGTGCAAGAAACGGTTAGCACCCAACCCGTGATCATTGGAGTCGTATAATAAGGTCCAATGAGATGGCATCATGGAAAGTTTTTCTTTAAAAATTTGTGCTGCGGATGATTTATTGGATGTAGGTGACTGTATAGTCTGCGGCTTAGAAAAGAGTGGAGGAAGCCCCCCAGCTAGCAACCATGCTTGCGATAATGGCATTAACGATTCATAGTTCGAAGTGCTGGCATCCTTATTAGCAGCATCAGGGAATGGATTGCGTTGTTCCAGAACTGGAGTTTGTAGCTCAATTCCGCATGATTGGCTTTGTTGCTCAAGACCTCTGTAGGATGTTGTTAATGTGTGTAAACAATATTTGTGCACCAGCAACACTAATCTTATAAGATTTTGCTCAAACCAACGACAGACAAATCCTACACTTAGATTATCGTGACTAAAAAATATTGACTTAGTCACCGAACCAAATGTCCGATTAATCTGAAAATAAATGAAAAACAAGTTCGCATTGCATAAGGTCATTTTGAATATACTTACTGCTGGACAGAGTACTGCGTTGCCAGAGTGTTGCATTGCTATTGTATAGCATATGAAGAGTAAGCGTGTAACACCTTCTTTCGTTATAAATTCAGGATTATCGTCTTCAGCATACATTTTAATATAGCATTCCAAAATTTTTTCATCATCCATTATACCAAGAAAACGCTCACACTGTTGACGGAATGCCATAGTCCCCAAGTGAGCTGTTGTTGCTTTCGAAGCTGAATGCATTAGGCGAAATAATCTTTTGCCTAAATCAGCATATTGGGGAAAAACTTGTGACTATCAAGGGTGACACAACATTTGTCAAAATCAGTTCAGTAAAAAGAAAACACACACATTAAAAGTATTACTCACTACAAACACGTCTGATACAATGCCATTGACACCGTGTTTGGCAGACTTCTCTTTAAGTATCTCTGATAATTTTTCAATCGGAACAAGTTGGGTTAAATATTTCTCCGTAACATCTGCACCCGATGCAGATCTACTCATGGATCGTTCGGCCTTTAACATAGCATTATTATTTGCTGCTGAAACTCCATCGGTTATTGGAACGGTTGGAGATGTTTTTGGGAGTTTTTCCCTTGAAACACCTGATAATCCATTCTGCACATCGATGCCAGAGTCACTTCTGGAATTCGAATTTCCCATTGGTTATTCTTTTTTTTTACTAAAGTAATCATTCACAATTTCAAACAGAATAACTTGAAATGCGCAATTTAAAAAAAATGAGAATTTTCAATCTTTACAAAAATGACAACTTCTAGCGCAGAAACATCAAATCAAATGATAAATTTTCAGTGCTTATCTTTTCCAAACTTCCATTGGCGCTGACAGCAAAAATCATCAGTGCTCAAACATTACCAGAATTAAGAATTAAGCATTTAGGGTACGACGCGACAGCGTGTCTGTAATATATCGCCTTAACGCTTGAGTCACAAAAGTAGCTGTCAAATTTTTTGTACTCTTGATTTGGTGAGAAAAGTACTGTTACGATTTTACTGAATCAACCTCGATTATTTTCTAGATCCTTCGGGTACGATCTCTGGATTGTTAAATAAAAACTCGCCAACTTAGTTTGCAGTTTCTTTCGTTATAAAGATTCTATCTAATGTCCTTTATTCTCTCAGTAATTCACAATTCAATTATACTGCACTTTACTATTTATAATCACTAACATCAACTTTCACAATTTCCTCTACTTAAATGTAATTCCCAACGCGTTCACTTTACGTCTTCACTGATGTTAACGCCAACCAATTTGCTTTGTCACTAACTTGACTTGCAGCTGAGTGCCGCCTTTATATAGCAGTCGGCTGCTCCCAGACGAAAGCGTAGAAGCATCGAATTGTTCGCTATGGAAGGTTCTTGTTTTATCGTTTCTAGAACGTACTAGTTATCGGCTTCTCTCTTTCATCTGACATTCGCCTCGCATTTTCGCAACAGTACTATCAACGGCAGTGAAAATTAGCCAGTATAAAAAATGCGGATGTTTTTCCTTTTTGGTCATGCTTGGTGAAAATTGAGTTATGGGGGGTGGTAGGGGGTTCCACCCTCTCTCTGAAACCGAAAACCAAACCGGAGGCTATCAGATAGACAGATTGTAAAGAGGATATGCACCGCGATCAGTGGTCTATTTATAAAACTAGTCAGGCTAGAGGGGTTGATCGGTTTAATGTGGTTCTCCTTAGGCTGAATGACTCCATGCTTGTGTCTTCTTCTTCAGAACGTTGTGTCTGGTGCTAGCTCGCAGAATCTGCATGTTTCATCAGGGCATATTTCGATCCTGTACATATGCTTACGCAGTCTGCAATGTCCTGTAAGAAATCCTGTTAGTATTCTTAAATTATTCCCACTCAATAATATTATATTATTAAATCTTTTGGTATTGTAGCCGTTTATGACTCTCTTCAACTGTCTCATTTCGGCGCTGCAATACCAGAAACTATTTTTCATACTTAATTCCTCCCTTCTTATCTCTACTCTCATTGAGTGGAGACCTAAGGGAAATAATGGCTCTGGTCCAGTAGGAGAGATTGAGACAGCTTCTTTTGCAAGTCTATCTGCTATTTCTTTTCCTTCAATGCCTGATTGTCCCGGAACCCAGGTCAGCTGAACTTTGTTTCTTTCGCCCACTCTATCAATGTTCTTAACACATTCCCCTACCATGCATGATTTAATTATACATGACGATATGCTTTCAACGCGGCTTGGCCATCGCTGCAAATTATGATATGTTGGATAACAATTTTCCTTTGGAGAACGAGCTCTGCGCATATTATAATGGCAAACACCTCTGCCTGAAATATACTAGGGTATTTACCCATAGAATCGATATTTTGGTTCTGGGTCCAGTGACCCCCCCGCCTATTCCATCAGTAGTATTGGCACCATCTGGGTACCACACAAGAGAGTGCGGTTTTATTACTTCCTGTACTTGAGTTTGATTCCATGTTCTTTTTTTTCCAGGAATATTTTGAACTTGGCATTGAAACTTCTTATGTTAAATATTTCATTTCTATTAAAATTTGCCAGAGGTATACTTTCTTTTATCTCTGCCCCTTTCTTGGCTGATATGATTTTTCCTTTCCCTGACCCCTCTTTTATTATTGTTAGTATGGCTTTCTTATTAGAGAGCTCTATTTCCTTTTGTAGAAGCGTAAGATCAAGGAGATCTTCCCGTGCTACTGTAGGTCATTTTCTTATGCGTCCAGTTATACAGACGCACGCTAGTCTTTGCAGTTTAGTTTGCAGCCTTGGCCGTGTTTAGCTTTGCTCTTTCTGGCCAAGCAAGCGTGCAATATGTATGGTTATGGTTATATATATGGTTGGTTTTACTATCATGGTATATATCCAGTGCGGTATTTTTGGGGTGCATCCCCATGTTTTCCCCTGGTAATGTTTTGCATACCATTATTGATCTTGTCGCTTTACTTATAATATACTCTTTTCCATGTTACGTTAGCATCAAAGATCACCCACTGATATTTCGTCTGACTGGTGGGCTCTATTAATACATTTTATCCTTGACATTTTATGCCAATGTCTGTAGGGAGTTCTAGCAGGTCATCTACTACCAGGCTCCAAAGGAGTGATGCTAGTACTCCCCTTCATCTGAATTGTTTCATTGTCGGCAACTGTATCTGATACTCTGTTGTTAAGCATGAAGTTGATGCAATTTCAGATAGGTTCTTCTACTCTTTTCTTACAAAGTGCTTTGTCAAAAGTTCCTTCAATGTCTAAGAAAGCGCATATTGCAACTTTTTTGTTGTCGATTGCGTCTTTAAGAATTTCTGATAGTTGATACTGTATTAGTTGATCTTCCCTCTCTGTACGCATGTTGTGTGGAGTGTAATACGGCATTTTCACGACATCCCAATTACGTGTTTCGACAATGCAAGGCTTTCTCTCATGATATGTACCATTGCGGATATTATTTGTTCCCCGTTTTGTAATAGTGCTGGCTATATACCGTCTATTCTTGGTGATTTGAAATTCTCAAAGGAGATAATTGCCCAAATTTGCCCCAAATATAAAAAACGATTTAACATTACTTATTCAAAGTGCTCAAATGTTCTCAGGTCTACTAATTATCTATTTGATAATAATCTATCTTTTGTAAATGAATCTATAGATCCTGGTGTGTTGTTTGTTGTGGAATTTACCTTCATTAATCACATCAACTGCATCATTCCTAAAGATAATTCTAACGTTGCTTTTTTATGGGGGTATGGTGGGGATGTCAAAGATTCCTACATGCGCAAAATTTTATATAACTCTTTGGTTCGTTCAATGCTGGAGTATGCTAGCTTCATTTGGAACCCAACTTATTCTACGCATTCCTCCAGACTTGAAACCGCTCCGCTTCATTTCTCTGATTCCCTACCTTCTTATACTTCTCGGTGTATGCTAATAAATTTGAAATCTCTTACTCCTTGACGATCCATAAATCCAGACATTACTTTTTACTATTTATGACACCATCCTTGGCTTAGTGGACTGTCCAGAGCTGTTTGAGCAAATCAGCTTTAATGTTCCTCATAGAACTTTACGCTCTCATTATCTGTTCTATTAGATGTAATTGAAATCAATTATCATAATTACGATAATATTTTTAGAGCACTCTCTGAATTTAATAGAAACTTTCAGGAGACTTGATCTTGATTTCGCATTCCCGAAATCTCGTTTTGGCATTAACGATAGAATGCTTTTTATACTTAGTTGTTTTAAGTCATTAATTAATTTGTACTTCTAGTCGGTAAGATTAGTGAGGCATTGACTGTATAAATTGAAATTGAAAGAGGGCTTCCGATCATTTGAGCCAGCATATTTCAGGAATGCATGAGGTCATCTCCCTTCTGTTCATAGAACGTTTTTCCCAGCATTTTCTTAATCATGCATTCTCTTTTAATTTGTATGTACCATGCACATATATTCTCAGAAGAGAAAGATAAACAAAACAACGTAATTATGTGCTAGTGCTGCCCATCATTGATGAACCCATCAGCCCGTTCTTACAGGGTATATAGAAGCTGTTTATTTTGGCAGTTGAATTAGAATCCGCTCACTTTAACCCTCCTTTTTCTGTTTTTAAGTGTTTTCCTAGGAATTCCAATAAATTTGGCAATTATGTAGCAGTTTTCTTTTATTAATTGTATTCAAAATTTATTGTATTTTAATAATCATGAAATTCTATATGCTTTATAGCCGTTTTTTGTATTAGCTCTCTTAAAGGTCGAAGATTTACGTATCATATATGCTCGCTTGCTTTCCAACAATTTGTCACCTAGATTTTAGATTTTCAGTAAGGATGACTGAAATATGAAAATGTGTTTGAAATTTTTGTTCCAAGTTCCAATCCAAGCGAAAGCTTCGTTTTCCATTTTAAACTAATATTTCATTTTGTTCATCGTCGTCGTTTCCCGAAGCTTACGAATGCATTATAGTCGCTGCTTGTGGTACAAACAACTCACGATTACCGGTCTTAGACCAAGTATCCCCTGGGTAGCCAACAAACATCCGTTTGGAAACGATCTAAAGTGAGAAGGCGAATCCAATCCGGTTGAACGTAGAGTTTATGATGACGACCTCCGCAAATGATTTAAGGATTACTATTTTAAGGCATGCCGCTGCCCAGATAAAGTTAAAGTTAAAGGCTCATATCCCCGCCGTCCAAGAAATGCGAGGGTCGGGACAAGGACGGAAGGTGGGTCCTTATGAAATTTACTACAGCGGCCATATAAAAGAGCGCGAATTACGTGTCGGATTTGTTTTGGGAGACAAACTCCTTCGCCGAATACTGGCATTCATCCCGGTGGCCCGAAAATACCAAAGGTAGGTTCGATGTTGAAAAGCGAGCGATTTTCAATATGGCTTGCTTACCTAATTTCTGAGAGCACTCAACAGCAACACGGCAAAAGGGGATTGTAGGACGGCATCGATAACTCCCTACATACAGCTGCAAACGAAACTGTGGGATTTCAAAAAAACCGCAAAACATCTGATACGATGAGGACTTTGCGATCGATCACAACACGTGCGGGGTGGAATAGATACTGAGAACTGAAGAGGGAAACAAGGCGCATCTGCAGACAAAAAAAGAAAGAACGAGATGCGTGAGTACGAGGAACTTGAGAAGTTGACCGACATGAGCAATGCTCGAAAATTCTACGAAAAGATACCACCACTACAGAAGGTTTCAAGACCGGAGCAAACTCTTGTAGCACCCAAAGGCGTGAACTAGTGACGGATGCCCAGAGTATACTGAATCTATAGAAGGAACACTTCTCCAGCCGGCTGAGTGGCAGTGAAATTGAATCACCCGGAGAAGGTGAACCCGATA